AAACACAAAACAAATCATAACTCGGTCAAAACTCAATATCTTTGAAAACAGAAATAGGATTCGGAGTCCTTACCACGAGATCTACACTTTCTCCAACAGCAGCGTCGGACGAAAAGCGCTCCGCGGCCTCCAAAACCCAAGATTCCTCTTTTTCCCTTTCTCTTTCTCTCTCTAAAACAGATATTTTGATTTTAAAATGATTTTCTCTCTCATCAAAACGACCAGATTTTCTTATATCATAAAGCAGATCGGCCCGGCCGATCGCCAGATCGTCCCGGGACGATCAGACCAACAAATATCGTCCTGGACGGTCCCCAGAACTATTCTTCGGCCGATATTTTCTACAGTGCAGATCGGCCTGGACGATCCCACTATCGTCCCGGACGATCCAGAGAGGAAAATCCAAATCATAGAGGAATAGTAAGGGAACGAGGTCTCACAGTTAGGGGGTGGTCTTGCGGAGCTCAGGGCGTCAGGTGGTGGTTCGACGGAATTCAGGGCGTCAAGTGTTTTTCCGGTGGAGCTTAGGGCATCAGGCGATGATTCGGTGGAACTCCGGGCGTCAGATGGTGGTCTGTTAGAACTCAGGGCGTCAGGTGGTGGTCCGGTGAAGCTCAAGGCATCAAGTGGTGGTCCAGTGGAACTCTGGGCGTCAAGTGGTGGTTCGACGGAACTCCGACGGTGGTCAAGGAGGCAATAGGGATCTCTGATCTCTCTCTTCTCTCCTTAGGGGTCCCCTTTCAAGAGGAAGGAGGAGTCTATTTATATATTTCGTAGAGTAGCATGGCTCGTAAATAGGATCAAGGATAAATGTGGAGTGGTTTGGATGGACGGTTGATATTGAATCCTTGGATCGTGGACCGTTCGCTAGACATTTGAAGGTCTTAATGATGTCGGAATATCGTGATCTTGGGCTCATTGGATTCGTCTCGTCGAGCCGCTTGATTCGACTATAAGCATGTCACATTTGGAAACCATTTGGTAATCCAAATTGTGGTTCGAACCTTTCTATAGCGCTTCGGGCCCTTGATTTTGACCCATTTGAGTTTGGATTGAGTCGAATTTGGTGTCGTTAGGTTTGTATTTTCGAGATGTTCAGTTCGACTGTAAGTTTGTTGAAATTGGAGTTCGGATGGTCCCAATTTTAATTTCGGAATTTTCCAACTTGATTATTCCTCGAGATTCATGCCCGATCGAGATAATTTTTTGAGGATGTATCACTAACTAATTTCAACAAGTTTTAGTCAACTGACATCTGCAAACTTTCCAACTAGACATCAATAGCGAGATCATATTTATAGCTTTCCATTTTAGGACGAATGTAGAGTTTACATAGAAGATTTTGTAGGTTTTCACCTATAAGATCAATTTACTGAAGAAGGTTTATAGTATATTTTCATTAAGAAAGAGAAATACTTTATTACTACATACACACTCGACGCCATGTTTATTTTGGTTGACCCAAATCTTTAGTGACAAATGTCTTCCACAAATAAGATTTTATTTCTATAATGCCTCAATTATCTTTTTTAGTGAGTAGAATGCAATCATATATACCATGAATCACCATGCTATAGTAAGAGTGCCAAATAAACATAGAGTGATAAACCTCATTTTCAGGAAGAAG